TCTCCTGGTCTCTGCTTCGACGAGGAAAAAGTTTCCTACACAGCCCACCAATAACATTAAATCAGCTGTTTAGTTAAAATATGTACCAACTGACACAGGTGTCAATATGTAAATTAGGGAAAAGAAGTGGGCAAATATACAAATATAAAGGAAGTGAATGTGAAATAGGGGTTTTTAGAGTAATAAACAAATTATGTGACGTGTTGAATGACAGATGAGAGCAGATATATTAATCACACAGTCTGAAGCTGCAGACAGAAACATCAGACTCAGGACAGAGACACACAACCTCTAAAGTAAGAACAACTCACAAGTTCATTCTTTAACTAGAATTAGACTTGTTATTTTAATAATAGTAAATGCTGCTTTTTTTTCAAATTACACAATCATGTTTGAAAATGTGAGCATATTTCAATATTCAAAGCATATTTTAGTTTTTCAGTATTTTTTCTTTCTCAGAAATGGACCAAACTCTATATTTCATTCTTCTTCTCATTGGTGAGTGTGTTTGTGGTTTTATTTATGGTTTATAGTTTCATTAGGTTTGATCCTGTTATGAAGATCATTAAAGCAAAGCCTCTCTTTCACAGCTCTCTGCTCCGTATCTGAATGTGTTCAGCGTCAGTATCACTTTATAAATGAGAGGAAGACCTGGACTGAAGCTCAGAGATACTGCAGAGAGAAATACACAGATCTGGCCACCGTTGACAACATGAACGACATGAACGAGCTGAAGAAAAGTGTGAATGATGAAGGTGTTGAAGATGTCTGGATCGGGCTGCAGAAGACGGGTCGTGATGAATGGCAGTGGTCTTCAGGTGAAGCTGCGCTCTATCTGAACTGGGCTACTGGACAACCAGAAGGCAGAGACAATTGTGCTATGATGCTGAATAGAGAATGGCATGATTTGGCATGCAGTGCTACCCGACGTTTCATCTGCAGCAACAGTGAGTATAGATATTTAAAATTACAACAACAGTTCCTTTTGTTGTTACACTATGGGGTAATTTGTCACAATGGGAACCTACAATTAAATAAGCTAAAGATAGACTGATGTGCATTTAGTTGTTAAAGATCAGATAATATTCATAATAAACATACAGAAGTGATTAGAGGTGATATAGCTTGATATTTTCAGCTTTCAGTATCTCAACACAAACCTGTAATGGGTGAATTTTTACTTGTAGATTAACTTAAGTCCAGTATATTTAATCACAAAACAATCAAGCATCAAGATCAAGAGCATCAACACTGCAACTATATTAATTCATAAATTAACAGTCTATGAACTAGTTAATACGGTGGCCGAGCGAGCTCAATGCGTTGAAAATGAAAAAAACACATGCAAATAGAAAAAACACCTGCAAATTAAGAAAGCATCTTCATCAATTTGACAACACACGTGCGGCAAATGCTCACAACACAACCAAATAAAGAAATGTGCTGCAAAAACAGAAACGCTCTGCAAATAGGCACAGACCACATCGGAAATGTGGGAATAGCAAAGTGACGAACATGGTGGGGACATATTTATCAACGTTTGCTCTGAAAGGTGAGATGTTTGTTTATTTGAACATCCCTATCATACCATTCCTTAGTTTTTATTTTTTTTTGACTAATATTATTAACCTAAATAAGCTTGAGGCCGACATGTGGAACCCATCTGGTCCAGCGTACAGAACCAGAATAGGGTCAGCTAGGGCCAGCCATTTATTATATAAAAACTAAATAAAAACAAAAAATGGTTACTATAGCCTAGTTAAACCATGGTAACCATGCACAAATTAGCCATGGATTTACTACACTAACCATAATTTAACCATGGTATTTGTACAACTGTATTTACACAAATGGTAAAAAAAAAAAAAAAACATGGTAAATTTTAATTTTGTTCAGGTAATTTAGCTGTGGTCTGTGAGTATCTGTAGCGTGTTTCTTTATTTGTTTTTGTTGTGAGGATTTGCAGCACATGTGCTGTCAAACTGATGAAGATGTTTTCTTAATTTGCTGGTGCTTTTTCTATTTGCATATGTTTTCTGAAGTTGCAGCGTGTTGAGCTCTCTTGGCCACCATAAGTTAATATATTGAACTGCAGTGTAACATCTTTCTCTGTTTGACGTTTTGATGCTGCTCTTTGTGACTGAATCAAGTATTCCATAGAGACATGCAACGAAGCACAATGGACAAATAAAAAAAAAAAGCTTTAGACTCATCACAATTTCACCAATGTTACTTGATGTTATATCTTTAAAATAATCTTGAATACATTATGAATATTCAGTATGTCACAAGTTGTAGAAGCTGCTCAAGTCTTTGTGTTAGGGAGACTTAGAAGGACTGTATATAAGTTTTATTGCCGGGTCTTATTTTGTGTAGTAATCACTCCCAGGTGTCGTTCAGGACACAGGAACCAGACCAATTGCTGAACTGAGGGTATTTAATGAACAGTTGAAGTAGGCATGGGCAAACAATCTTTCAGTTGGCTTTATATTATATGTGTGTGGTTCTGAAATTAATCAAATAACAAATATAAGTAACAACATTATGAAATTAGTATCCATATACATTCATCCAATAACTAAATAGTAACTAAACTAAACAGTAGCATGCAATTAATTACTACTAGCATGGTCAAAGCAATAATAACTGCTGCTAAGCACTGTTACATGTACGGAAACGTGACTAACTATAAAGTGCGTCACAGATTATAGCGAATATTACTGATTGAACTACTCAAAGTATCCAGCTATGCAATACACAATATAGCAGAAAATATCTTCGTTAGACAATCAAACATAAAATACGCTGCGTGCATAACAAGTAACGAGGAGAAGTTGAATAAATCTAGAAGTGCGTCATCTAGACACTAGCCATAAATCACAATAGCACACAAACACAGGGGCAGTCGTGGCCTAATGGTTAGAGAGTCGGACTTGTAACCCGAAGGTTGTGGGTTCGAGTCTCAGGTCCGGCAGGGAACATATACAGCTCTGAAAATTGAAGGAATGAGTTAACGGGGTTCTGAGGAAGCCCAAAGTTTTAGCAAGATATTCGCTACAGTTCTCTTACTGGCATCCTGAGAAAATCACAAGCAGAGATTTGGCTTATGTTTACTGCTTAAAATTTAGCTCGACACCAGTTCAGCAGAGATAAGATTTTGTTCGTTTACTTGCGCTTTGCTTTGGGTGACAGCTGAAAAGCTGAGTCGGTCCTCGTGGCTACTGGAGGGGATTCCGTTGCTGATTGGCTGTTGATTTGGCGCCGGAATGACGTTTTATTCGGGAGTATATTGCTCCGATACTTTAAATTATTGTCTTTCAAACTTGGTCCATGCAAGGTCCTGTTTCTTTTGTTGTAAGAGAAGTTTGTGAGGGTTTCAGACAGGGCAGGAAGCAGGTGGTCAAAAAGTCATGTGGCGTCACGCTGTATATCCCGTGCTTGCAGGCCCGAGGGCGTGATTAAATTACTGTTTCCTGTGCATACATATAAGGGTCCTATGCCTAAGCGATCACGAGGTATCTATATGTCGTGAAAGAGCTTTTCAGTCCTGATACAAAAGATCGCTGTGTTATCTCCTGAATGGATTAGTTCGTCATCACTCATCTGAGTAGATGAGACAAGGCTGACAGGAAATCGCCCCCCGAATATTGGAGTCATGTGCTGGGATGATTCCATGGCATATGGAAGTATGTCTGTTATGGATAGAAATCCTACAGGAGCATAATTTGCTTTTTGGGTAACCAGCGCGAATTGTCTGTGTACGTTCTGTTTCTTTGTCTGTGACAAAAGAAACCTAAGGGTTTCAGTCATGCAGGAAGCAGATGGTCAAAAAGTCATGTGGCGTCACGCTGTATATCCCGTGCTTGCAGGCCCGAGGGCGTGATTAAATTACTGTTTCCTGTGCATACATATAAGGGTCCTATGCCTAAGCGATCACGAGGTATCTATATGTCGTGAAAGAGCTTTTCAGTCCTGATACAAAAGATCGCTGTGTTATCTCCTGAATGGATTAGTTCGTCATCACTCATCTGAGTAGATGAGACAAGGCTGACAGGAAATCGCCCCCCGAATATTGGAGTCATGTGCTGGGATGATTCCATGGCATATGGAAGTATGTCTGTTATGGATAGAAATCCTACAGATTGTTGGTGGGGGGAGTGAATAACCAGCGCTCTCTTGCGACCACGACTGAGGTGAGACCAAAAAATGGCTAAAATGAGAGCAAAAATGGCTTCCCACTCAGGGGCATATCTACATGGTGGCCCCACTGAAATCTGGTTGGCCACCCCAGGTACCCCCCCCCCCAGATGTCTCGTGATTGACTTGTTTTTATTAAATCTTTAACTACATCTGTCAATGGTGGATCCCAAGTAGGGCAATATAGGCTGCTTCCTTTTCTTTTATATTCTTAATTTTAGGTGGTTTATATAGTGTTATCTTAAAGACAAATGTCGAGAGCGCAGCGCATCCATATAATGCGTGAGAACGAAGTTCTCCACTTGCAAGCAGATTTCCTTCGCTCTCACACAAAACTGGACATGCACTTTTAAATATATAGTGTTCTCTTAGGAACTAGCTCTGCTCTCACAGATATTGCGTGTGCACGCTCAAGCTTTGTCCCTGCATCATTGAAGACCAGAAGAACTTTTTTAATTCAGGTGACGAGTATAGGCTTATTATCCCACAAATAATATCCCCCTTCTAATTATTTATTTTATTATTTAATACTTATTTAAGTGCTTATTGTAAATATGTATTTATTTAATTATTTTATTCAGTGCATTTGTATTCTGTTGTTTTTGTATATACATTGACACTCCTTGTGAAGGGTGTCAATGATTGTCTTCTGGACAACTGTCAGATCAGCAGTCTTCCCCATGATTGTGTAGCCTAGTGAACCAAACTGAGAGACCATTTTGAAGGCTCAGGAAACCTTTGCAGGTGTTTTGAGTTGATTAGTTGATTGGCATGTCACCATATTCTAATTTGTTGAGATAGTGAATTGGTGGGTTTTTGTTAAATGTGAGCCAAAATCATGACAATTAAAAGAACCAAAGACTTAAACTACTTCAGTCTGTGTGCATTGAATTTATTTAATACACGAGTTTCACAATTTGAGTTGAATTACTGAAATAAATGAACTTTTCCACGACATTCTAATTTATTGAGATGCACCTGTATTAGAGAAGTTCATTTTTGCGTGATTACATTTTGGCGAATTTGTTTCCATAGCGACAGAGTCTCCAGAACGCGCACCGTTAAAACCCAGTGCAGCATGCGCTAAACCTAGGGCTGGACAAAAATTCAATATCAATATGTATTGCGATATAATTTTTTTCAATACCGGTGATATGATTTTTAAACACATTTCCGATATTTCGATATACATTACCAGTGTTTCCCATAGATTGATTTATTTGTGGCGTTTGACTTAGTTGAATAAACATGAGCACTGCACATTTCAAAATCATAACACGG